TTTCTAGAAGTTCATAGAATGGGGAGAGGTTTGGGAGAAGGGAAAGGAAGGAAGGGCGGGGGAAGTTTGTGCTTGGGGTGGTAGTTCAGTACTGACATGAAGGTAAAAATGTGTGATTTACATTCTATGAAATGGGGAGAAAATGAATCTATTAACGTTTGGGCCCACAGATTTATGTGTTTGTTTCTTGTTTTTGGGGTTTGGCAGGAGATGAATCCATAATGCGCGGATATTTGGTTCGCGTAGTTAGTCTGTAGCTTTTACGGGGGGTAAGGGGGGTTTGTTAATAGATACCGTTGGTTTATCTTGCGTACGTGTGTGCGTACGTGTGTGCGTATGTGTGTGCGTATGTGTGTGCGTGCGTACGTGTGTGCGTACGCTTTAAGGTTATGTCATTCTAGCATTAAACTGAATCACAACAGAAATAATACTATGTGGCTGAAGGATATTCATTAATAAGTCCAGCTTCAATTGAATTGACTGGAGACCATGCCTGGCGGCGATGGTGAGTCACAGCATCCCCGAAAATTAAAAGATACCAAATGCATGAAACCACAGTTATGTGTGAGCATGGGCTGATTAGTCATTAGTCCATCGAGATGTCTTATTTAAGGGGAACGAGTGGGCGATCTTAGTTTGTATGGCCCTGAAGTAAGAACCAGATGTCTGATAAAGTTCCTTTATAGAAACCCCCACATTAAGATGGGCCCGGAGCGAGAAGAGGGACACCTGTCTGGCGGGTTGATGGTTTCACGGAGGATGGTAGATCAAGGGACACCTTGTGGAAGGGGATAGTCATATTGACGAGGATTTATTTGACTTTATGCGCTAATGTCTATGTAACGCATTCTATGTTTTATGTAAGGTTTGAGGTTTAGTTTGGGGGTGAATATCCGTATTGTCGAGCAGTTGAGTTGCGTAAGGTTTGGGATGTATTATGTACTTCTTAATTCTGGGTGCGTGCTTATTAGTCATGGGGGGGAGGGTTTAATGTTGATTAAACATGTAATGGTTTATGTCCTATTATACATTGTATGGGGATATACATAAGTGTATGGGGAGGTGCATTTAATGCACGATGTACATGGCATGGGTGTGGATTGCACCCGTTATTTATATATAGATGAGTCATGGCTGTTACAGGGAATAGTTTAACGAGAATTTCAGCTTTGGGTGCTGATGGTGGAGTTTGTCACTTCTTCCTTGAGGGTGTCTTTGGGAGAGTGGTGTCTCCATTCCTGGTTTACAAAACCAGAGTAATTTTTATACTACAAAGGCTCTTCATTTCAGTAGTTTGTTTTCTAGTATATTTGTTAGTGGTAGGAGAATTAGGATGGTGAGGAAGTAGGAGATGGATGCTAGTTGGCCGATGGCGATGAATGGGTATTCTACCGGTTGGCCCCCAATTCATGTGAGGATTAAAAGGTTGGCTACTAGGATTCATATGAAACACTGGCTAATAGGGCGGAATATCATACTGCGTTGGTTTGATAAGTGCAGAGTTGGGAAGAGTAATAAGATTAGGATTGAAGAGATTAGTGCTAATACTCCTCCTAGTTTGTTCGGGATTGATCGTAGGATGGCATATGCAAAAAGGAAATATCACTCGGGTTTAATGTGAGGGGGCGTGTTTAGTGGGTTGGCCGGTGTATAGTTGTCTGGGTCTCCTAGGAGGTCGGGAGAGAATAATGTCAGGGTTAAAAGGGCTAGTATTATGAGGAGTATCCCCAGGATGTCTTTAATTGTGTAGTATGGATGAAATGGGATTTTGTCTGAGTTTGGGTTAAGGCCTGATGGGTTGTTTGATCCAGTTTCGTGGAGGAATAAAAGATGGACGAGTACTAGGGCTGTGATGATGAATGGTAGGATGAAGTGGAATGCAAAAAATCGAGTTAGGGTTGCTTTGTCTACTGCGAATCCGCCTCAAATTCACTCTACGAGAGTGGGTCCGATATAAGGAATAGCTGAGAGGAGGTTTGTGATTACTGTAGCGCCTCAGAATGATATCTGTCCTCATGGTAAGACGTACCCTATGAAGGCTGTTGCCATGACCGTTAATAGTAGGATGACTCCGATGTTTCAGGTTTCTAGGAATAAGTATGATCCGTAATAAATTCCTCGCCCTACGTGGAAGTAAAGGAAGATAAAGAATATAGATGCTCCGTTAGCATGGAGGTATCGGATCAGCCAGCCGTAGTTTACGTCTCGGCAGATGTGGGTGACTGATGAGAATGCCGTGGTGGTGTCTGCGGTGTAGTGTATTGCTAGAAATAATCCGGTGATAATTTGTAAAATTAGGCATACACCCAATAAAGAGCCAAAATTCCATCAGGTTGAGATGTTGGATGGGGTTGGCAGGTCGATGAATGAGTGGTTGATTATTTTAAGTAAGGGGTGTGATTTGCGTGTATTGGTCATTAGTTCTTGTAGTTGAAGTACAACGATGGTTTTTCATATCATTGGTCATGGTTAGATTCCATGTGGGAATTATGATTTTGAATATAGTTTACATTTTTAGTGTTTTATTTATCTTAGGTTTTATTTGTTTTTCTGTAAAACCTTCACCTATTTATGGGGGATTGTCATTGGTTGTTAGTGGTGGAGTTGGGTGTGGGATTATTTTAGTTTGTGGGGGGTCATTTTTAGGGTTGTTGGTATTTTTGGTATATTTAGGGGGTATAATGGTGGTGTTTGGTTACACAGCCGCTATAGCAATAGAGCGATACCCTGATACATGGTTGTCTAGTGGAGTCGTTTGAGGTTCACTGATTTTGGGGTTTGTAGCTGAGGCTTTGTTCTTGTACGCATGGGCTAAGCTAGATGATATTGAGATAGTTGTTGAATTTTATAATATAGGGAGTTGAGTAGTGTATGATGTTGAGGGTGGAAGTGTTGGGTTTTTTAGTGAGGATCCTGCAGGGGTAGCTGCGATTTACAGTTATAATTATTGGCTGATGTTTGTAGCCGGTTGATCCATGTTTGTTGGGCTTTTTATTGCTCTCGAGCTTACTCGAAGAGGTAGGTGGTTGTTATAATAGCTAGGGTGATGGTGAGTAGGAATGATAAGAAATAAAATTTGATTAGGCCTGTTTGGTTTGAGGTTAATGAGGAAGCTGTTATTTGGGAGTTGGAGATGCTCTTAGGAATTAGTTTTTCTAGTCAGATTATATCAATTATTGATGTGGCTAAGTTTTGGCTTGTTAGAAGGTTTTTGTGTGGTTGGATTCGATGAGTGAGTGTGGTGAAATATCCTAGTAGGTTTGAAAAGTTAGATAGTTTATTTGAATAGTGGATTTTTAGGTTTAGGGTTATCGAGCTTAGTTCTATTGCGATTGTAAAGCCAAGAATGGTTGTTAGGATGGCGGAAAATTTTAGGTAAAGGGGTATGGTTATTTGTGGGATGTCTGTGGGGGTGATGTTATATGATAGGATAAACCCTGCAAAGATGCTGCCAATTGATAGTCGTTTGATGGGGTTGACTATCAGAGGGTTATTTTCGTTTATGTTTAGTTGAGGGGTTGATCGAGGATTGTTTAGCAGGGTGAAGTAGATTATTCGTGTGCTGTAGGCAGCTGTTAGTGATGTTGCGATTAGAGTTGTGAGGAGGGCTCAGGCGTTAGTGTTTGATGTACAGGCGGATTCAATGATTAGGTCTTTTGAGTAAAATCCTGTTATGAACGGCATTCCGGTTAGTGCTAGGCTTCCAATGATTAGGGATGAGGTGGTAATTGGAAGGGTTTTATATAGTCCCCCCATCTTTCGGATATCTTGCTCATCGTTTAGGTTGTGGATGATTGAGCCTGAGCATAGGAATAATATGGCTTTGAAGAAAGCGTGGGTGCAAATGTGGAGAAATGCTAGGTGTGGTTGATTGATTCCGATAGTTACTATTATTAAGCCTAGTTGGCTTGAAGTAGAAAATGCTACAATTTTTTTAATGTCGTTTTGTGTTAGAGCGCAGATAGCTGTGAATAGTGTTGTCAGGGCTCCGAGGCATAGTGAGGCAGTTAGGATATTTTGGTTATTTTGTATTAAGGGTGAAAGTCGAATGAGAAGGAAGATGCCTGCGACTACTATGGTGCTTGAATGTAGTAATGCTGATACAGGAGTGGGGCCTTCTATAGCTGATGGTAATCATGGGTGGAGGCCAAATTGTGCTGATTTTCCGGCAGCTGCAACAAGTAATCCTATTAGGGGGAGAAGGTGGGGGTGGTTTTGGGTAATGAAGATTTGTTGAAGGTCTCATGTGTTGGAGTGTAGTAGAAGTCAACATATTGATATTACTATTCCAATATCTCCGATGCGGTTGTACAGAATGGCTTGTAGTGCCGCGGTGTTCGCGTCTGTTCGTCCATGCCATCACCCGATTAGCAAGAAAGATATGATCCCTACTCCCTCTCAGCCAATGAAAAGTTGTAAGAGATTATTTGCTGATACTAAGATCATTATAGTGATTAGAAATATGAGTAGGTATTTGAAAAATTTGCTTATGTGAGGGTCTGAGTGTATATACCACAAGGAGAATTCTATAATTGATCAGGTGACGAATAGTGCTACGGATGTAAAAAGAATTGAGAAGTGGTCTATTTTTAAGTTTAGGTTTATGTGGATGGTTGGGGCAATGATTCAGTTTCAGTTGGTTGTTAAGGTTTCTTGGTTGGAGTTGAATAATATCAGGGTAGGAATGAGGCTTAGAAAGAACGATGTAGAGATAATAAGTTTTACGTAGTTGGGATAGGGAAGGGTTTTGTGTAAGTTTGTTATAGGGGTGAAGATGGGTAGTGTTAGGATAATAAGAGTGAGAATAAATGAAGAAGTGGATAGATTTATTACTTTTATTTGGAGTTGCACCAATTCTTTGATTCCTAAGACCAATGGAATACTTCTATCCTATAAAAGTAAGAAAGCCATAGTCGTTAGTTATGGTGGTTTGGAATTAGCAGTTCCAATATCCTTTCTTCTGGGTAAATAAGAAGTTTTGGTCTTCTATTGTTAGATTCACAATCTAATGTTTTTATTAAACTATAATTACAGTATAAGTTTCCCAAGATAATTTTTGGATTGAGGGTGAGGAGTAATAGAGGGATGATGTGGAGGGCTATGAGAGAGTTTTCTCGGGTGAATGTCGGTGTAATGTTGCTGATATGGTATGGTGGTTTTCCTCGTTGTGTCGTGATCAATATGAATAGGGTGTATAGGGCTGTGATAAGTATGTTGAGGCCAGTCAGGATGATAGTGAAATTAGATCAAGAGAAGGTTGATAGGATAATGAACAGTTCTCCTACTAGGTTGATAGTGGGGGGAAGGGCGAGGTTGGTTAGGCTTGATAGGATTCATCATGTTGATATAAGTGGGAGGGTTATTTGTAGGCCTCGAGCTAGTAGTATGGTTCGGCTATGGGTTCGTTCGTAGTTTGAATTTGCTAGACAGAATAGTAAGGATGATGTGAGACCGTGTGCGATTATTAGGGCAGTTGCCCCTATAAAGCTTCATGGGGTTTGGATGAGGATAGCTACGATCACCAGAGCTATGTGGCTGACGGACGAATATGCAATTAAGGATTTTAGGTCTGTTTGTCGTAAGCAAATAGAGCTGGTTATAATTATTCCTCACAGTGATAAAAGGATGAATGGATATGCTATGTAATTTGTTATAGGCTCCAAAAGTTGGGAGATTCGTATTATTCCGTAGCCCCCTAGTTTTAGGAGAATGGCTGCTAGGACTATAGAGCCTGCGATTGGGGCTTCTACATGAGCTTTGGGGAGTCATAGGTGGAGACCATATATAGGTAGTTTAATTATGAAGGCCATAGCGCATGCGATTCATAGTAGGCTGTTTGATCATGTTGAATTTAATATGTGTTTGTTATAAGGGAATAGGAGGAAATTTATTGATCCTAGTGAATTTTGTAGGTAGATTAGGGCAATTAAGAGGGGCAAGGAGCCAGCTAAGGTGTAGAATAGGAAGTATAGTCCGGCTTTTATTCGTTCCGTTTGGTTTCCTCATCGGGTGATAATGATTAGTGTGGGGATTAGGGTCGCTTCAAATAGAATATAGAATATGATTATTTCAGTAGCGGTGAAAGTTATGATTAGGGAAATTTGGAGTAAGATGAGGAGTGAGATGTATGTTTTTTTTCGGATTTCCGTCTCTTTGCTTAGGTGGTGTTGGCTGGCTATAATTATTAAGGGCAGAAGTCAGGTTGTTAAAATGAGTAAAGGGGAGGTTAATGGATCGGAGGCGAATTTTAGTGAGTGGTTTTGGTTGGTGATATCAAGTTTATTTAGGTAAGACAGACTTATCAGTGCGATTATCAGGCTATGGATTGTAGGGTTAATTCATATTATGGTGTTTTTTGATAGTCAGGTTATGGGGATTAGTATGATTGAGGGGATGATAATTTTTAGCATTGTAGTAGGTTCAAGTTTTGTACGTAGTCTAATCCGTATGTGTTTGAAATCATTACTAGTAGGGCTAGGCCAATTGCTGCTTCGCAGGCCGCGAATACTAGTAAGATTATTGGTATAGGGAAGAAGGATATATAGTGGAGGTTAAGGATGATGGTGGAACTCAGGATGAATATAGATAGTATTATTCCTTCTAGGCAGAGTAGTGACGATATGATGTGAGATCGGTAAATTATGGCTCCCAGGAATGAGATTGTAAACGCGGTAATTAGGTTTAGGGAGATTGAAGACATTTTGGTAATTATGATATGAACATAATTTAATGAGTCGAAATCATTTGTTTTTTTTTAAACTAATTACCATATTCGTCTCATTCTAGGCCTTTTTGAGATCATTCGTAAGCTAGCCCTAGCGCTAGAATTAGGATTAATCCTAGAGATATTAGAATTGTTAATTTCAGGTTTGGAGATTGGGATGCCCATGGAAGGGGAAGGAGGAGGGCGATTTCTAGGTCGAATAGGAGAAACGTGATTGCGACTAGGAAGAATTTTATGGAGAATGGTAATCGTGCGGATTCCGTAGGGTCGAATCCGCATTCATATGGGCTGGTCTTTTCTGTGTAGGTGTTTAGTTGAGGTAGTCAGAACGCGATGGTAATAAGTAGTGTGGTTAATAGGTAGTTGGATAATAGTGAGATGAGGGTGTTTATTACTTTCTTCCGTTGCATAGTCAGAATTTATTGATTGGAAGTCAATTGTATTGGTTATACTAAGAAAGTATGAGCCTCATCAGTAAATGGAGATGTATAGGAAGAGTCAGACGACGTCTACAAAATGTCAGTATCAGGCTGCAGCTTCGAACCCGAAATGGTGGTTTGATGTAAAGTGGAAGTTGAATTGTCGGAGGAGGCATACCAAGAGAAATGTTGATCCGATAATGACGTGTAGTCCGTGGAATCCTGTGGCGACGAAAAATGTGGAGCCGTATACTCCATCTGAGATAGCGAAGGAGGCCTCGAAGTACTCTGAGATTTGGAGGAGGGTAAAGTAAATGCCTAGCAAGATTGTGATAGTAAGGGCTTGAATTATTTGTTTTCGGTCTCCTTCTATGAGGCTATGATGTGATCAGGTGATTGAGACTCCTGAGGCTAGAAGGACGGATGTGTTGAGGAGTGGTACTTCCAAGGGGTTAATGGTGAAGACTCCTGTAGGGGGTCAACACCCTCCTAATTCGGGTGTAGGGGCCAGACTTGAGTGGTAGAATGCTCAGAAGAATCCTGAGAAGAAGAAGACTTCTGAGATGATAAATAATACTATTCCATAACGTAGGCCTTTTTGAACGATTGTTGTGTGGTGTCCCTGGTAGGTTCCTTCTCGTACGATGTCACGTCATCACTGATATATGGTGAGTAGGTTTGATAGCATACTTAGTAGTAGAAGGGTTTTTGAGTTGAAGTGAAATCATATGATTAATCCTGATGTAAGTAGAAGAGCTGATAGGGCTCCCGTTAGTGGTCAGGGACTTGGGTTGACTATATGGTAGGCGTGTGATTGGTGAGTCATTAAGTATTATCGTGTAGGTATAGATTGACTAGTAAAGTGAAGACATATGCTTGAATAAGTGCTACAGCGAATTCGAGAATAGTTAGAAGAAATAAAATAGTAAAGGTTGTTAGGGCTGCGGTTGGGCTGATAGGGATTAGGACTGAGGTTGCGCCTCCGATTAAGTGCATGAGCAGGTGCCCTGCGGTAATGTTAGCGGTTAGTCGAACTGCTAGTGCTACCGGTTGGATGAATAAACTGATTGTTTCGATTGCTACGAGCATTGGGATTAGTATAGCGGGAGTGCCTTGTGGGAGGAAGTGGGCTAAGGAGGCTTTTGTCTTATGGCGGAATCCTAATACGACGGTTGCGGCCCAGAGTGGGATGGCTATTCCTAGGTTTATTGATAGTTGTGTTGTTGGAGTGAAGGAGTGGGGTAGTAGGCCTAGTAGGTTGGTTGACCCGATGAATATGATCAGGGAGATTAATATTAGGGATCAAGCTCGTCCTTTATTGTTGTGGATTAGTATCATTTGTTTTAGGACTAGCTTAATTAATCATTGTTGGAATGTAGCTAAGCGGTTGTTGGTTAGTCGATTAGGTGATGGGAAGAAAATGCTTGGGAATAGGATAATGAGGGTGACGATTGGGAGGCCTGCTAGTGTTGGTGTGGCAAAAGAGGCAAATAAGTTTTCGTTCATTTTTTTTCTCAAGGTATCTCTTGTTTTTTGTATTTTAGAGGGAGTGTTTGGGGGTTAGGGTTGTATGAGTATGTTGAGATCTTTAATTGAAAGATAATGAATAGTGAGATGAGTATTGATAGGATTGTGATGAATCATGTTGCTGTGTTTAGTTGGGGCATTCATTATGGGGAAATCAATTCCCAAGTCTTTAACTTAAAAGGTTAATGCTGAGATAGCTTCATAATGGATTATAGCATTGATGAAGATCAGCTTTCGAATGATTTTAGTGGGACCATTTCTAAAACGATGGGTATAAAACTATGGTTTGATCCGCAGATTTCTGAGCACTGTCCGTAGAATAGGCCAGGTCGTAGAGATATTAGTGTTGTTTGGTTTAGTCGGCCTGGAATTGCATCTGTTTTTAGACCTAAGGATGGAACAGCTCATGAGTGGAGGACATCTTCAGACGAGATTAATATACGAATTGGAGTCTCTATTGGGAGAATTAATCGGTTGTCTACTTCTAGGAGCCGAAGTTCTCCGGGTTTCAATTCTGTTGTGGGGATTATGTATGAATCGAAGTTGAGTTCCTCGTAGTCGGTGTATTCATAGCTTCAGTATCATTGGTGTCCTATGGTTTTTACTGTTAGTAGGGGGTTATTTATTTCGTCTATTATGTAGAGGATTCGTAGTGATGGGAGTGCGATTATAATAAGGATAATTGCAGGGAGGACCGTTCAAATGGTTTCAATTTCTTGAGCATCTATTGTATTGGTGTGGGTGAGTTTCGTGGACAGTATTAGGGAGATAAGGTAGAGTACTAATGTGCTAATCAGGAATACGATTATTAGCGTGTGGTCGTGGAAGTGCAGAAGTTCTTCTATGACAGGGGAAGTAGCATCTTGAAATCCTAGTTGATAGGGATATGCCATGAAGATATATTGGGGTTTAACCAATGATTTAACTTTGACAAAGTTATGTAATGTTTTACTAATATCTTCTATTGAGAAAGTCATAGAGGCTATGGTGCTGGCTTGAAACCAGTTTTTGGGGGTTCAATTCCTTCCTTTCTTGTTAAGGGGTTTTGATAAAGGTGGGTTCTTCAAATGTGTGATATGGAGGGGGACATCCGTGTAGTCACTCTAGGTTTATTGATGTTAATTCAGTTTTTGTTACCACTCGTTTTGATGCGAAAGCTTCTCAAATCATGAAGATTATTACTATCACAGCGGTTAAAGAAATGAATGATCCTGAGGATGAAATGGCGTTCCAGAATGTGTATGCGTCAGGGTAGTCAGAATACCGTCGTGGTATTCCAGATAGCCCTAGGAAATGTTGAGGGAAGAAAGTTAGGTTTACCCCTACGAATATGATGAAGAAATGAGTTTTTGCTCATGCGTAGTTTAGGGTATAACCTGAGAATAGCGGGAATCAATGTACAAATCCACCTATAATAGCGAATACCGCTCCTATTGACAGGACGTAGTGGAAGTGTGCGACCACATAATACGTATCGTGCAATACAATGTCTAGTGAAGAGTTGGCCAGAACAATCCCGGTTAATCCTCCCACTGTGAAAAGGAAAATAAAGCCCAATGCCCATAGCATGGCTGGGGATCATTTGATATTTCCTCCGTGCAGAGTTGCTAGTCAGCTGAATACTTTTACGCCAGTTGGAATTGCGATGATTATTGTGGCTGAGGTGAAGTAGGCGCGGGTGTCAACGTCCATTCCGACAGTGAATATGTGGTGGGCTCACACGATAAATCCTAAAAAGCCAATTGATATTATTGCTCATACTATTCCTATATATCCAAAAGGTTCTTTTTTTCCAGAGTAGAATGTGACAATGTGGGAGATTATGCCGAATCCTGGAAGAATCAGGATATATACTTCAGGGTGTCCGAAAAATCAAAATAGGTGTTGATAAAGGATAGGGTCTCCGCCCCCTGCTGGGTCGAAGAAAGTAGTATTAAGGTTTCGGTCTGTTAATAATATTGTAATTCCAGCAGCTAGGACGGGCAGGGAGAGCAAGAGAAGTACAGCTGTGATTAGGACCGATCATACGAATAGTGGTGTTTGATATTGTGTTATAGCAGGTGGCTTTATGTTGATAATTGTGGTGATGAAATTAATAGCCCCTAGGATTGATGAGACTCCTGCTAGGTGTAGTGAGAAGATTGTTAAATCAACGGAGGCACCTGCATGTGCGAGGTTTCCAGCCAAAGGGGGATAAACCGTTCATCCTGTTCCTGCTCCGGCTTCAACTATTGATGATGTGAGCAATAGTAGGAATGAAGGAGGTAGAAGTCAGAAGCTTATATTATTTATTCGTGGGAAGGCTATATCAGGAGCTCCGATTATTAAGGGGACTAACCAATTTCCGAAACCTCCAATTATAATAGGCATTACTATAAAGAAGATTATGACAAATGCATGGGCGGTGACAATTACGTTGTAAATTTGGTCATCGCCTAGTAGCGTTCCCGGTTGACCCAATTCCGCTCGGATTAAAAGACTAAGTGCAGTCCCCACTATACCGGCTCAAGCACCGAATAGAAGATATAATGTGCCGATGTCTTTGTGGTTAGTGGAGAACAATCAACGGTTGATGAACATAGTTAGGTAGAGTGGCTGAGTGAGGAAGCATTAGACTGTAAATCTAAAGACAGAGGTAATCTCTTTCTACCATAGCCCTGAGGTGATTGTTCATGTTGAATTGCAAATTCAAAGGAGCAGCTTCAATCCTGCCGGGGCTTCTCCCGCCTTTTTTTTTCTTTAGGCGGGAGAAATAGATTGAAGCCAGTTGTTTAGGGTGTTTAGCTGTTAACTAAATTTTCGTGGGGTTGGAGCCCACCAGTCTAGTAAGGGCTTAGCTTAATTAAAGTTTCTGGTTTGCGTCCGGTTGATGTGGGGTTATAATCTCACAGTCCTTATTTCAGGAAATAAATAGTGATGGTATTTGCTTGGGGCTTTGAAGGCCCCCGGTCTTGTTAACCTAATTTCCTTTATTAGATGATTAGTTTAGGATGATTATAGAGGGAGTTAGTGGGATGAGTAGGGTTGATAGGGTGATTAATGATGGTAGAGCGATGATTTTTTTTGTAGGTTGGAAGTGTCATTTGGTTTTCGTGTTGTTTGTGGAAGGGAATAGGGTTAGGGATGTTGAGTAGGTTAGTTGAAGGTAGAAGTAGAGGCTGAGTAGGGCTGTGATAGATATGAATGTGGGGAGGATAATATTATTATTTTTCACTATTTCTTGGATAATAACTCATTTAGGGGAAAATCCAGTTAGGGGTGGGAGGCCTCCTAAAGATAGTAGTGGGAGGAGAATAATGATAATGATTAATGGTGAGGAGCTTCAGGCAAGGGAAAGGGAGAGGGTTGTTGAGTTGTTGTTGATGGATAAGGTGAGGAATATTGATAAGGTGAGCACGATGTAAATGATGAGGTTGAATAGTATAATTGATGGGTTGTAGATTAGTGCTGCTAGTATTCATCCCATGTGGGCAATTGATGAATATGCTAGGATTTTTCGTAATTGTGTTTGGTTTAGCCCTCCTCAGCCTCCTAGTAAGATTGATATAATTGCTGAGGTAAGGGTTAGGGATTGGTTGATCACCGGGGAGATTTGAAATAGGATGGATAAGGGCGCGATTTTTTGTCATGTTAGTAAGATTATTCCTGATTTTAGACACACTCCTTGTGTTACTTCTGGTACTCAGAAGTGGAACGGTGCGAGGCCTAGTTTTATAAGCAGGGCTAAGGTTATAATTAAAGAGGTTGTCTGGTTGTTGGTGTAGATGATTGTCCACTGTCCTGAGTGTATTACTGTGAGTAGGATAGATATGAGGAGGGCTATGGATGCAGTTGCTTGTGTTATGAAGTACTTTGTTGCTGCTTCTGTGGATCGTGGGTTTGCTTTACCTATGAGGATAGGGATGACCGCTAGTATGCTTATTTCTAGGCCGATTCATATTAGTAGTCAATGAGAGCTGAGTAGTGTGATGATCGTTCCTATAAACAGAGTTGGGTAGATTACTAAAGTTGTGGCTAGGTTTATTAGTACGGGAAGGATATAAACCAACATTTTCGGGGTATGGGCCCGATAGCTTATTTAGCTGACCTTACTATTAGGATATGGTGTATTGGTAGCACAGGGAGTTTTGAGTTCTCTGGTGTAGGTTCAATTCCTATTGTTCTAGAAATAAGAGGGTTGTTACCTCTATGCTTTACTCTATCAAAGTAACTCTTTTTCAGACATATTTCTAGATTGTTTGAGGAGGGATGCTGGATGTGATTATGGGTATGGAGATGTGTCATATGCAAAGGGCAAGGGTTAAGGGGAGAAAATTTTTTCATAGTAAGTGCATGAGTTGGTCATATCGGAATCGTGGGTATGAGGCCCGAATTCATAAGAATAGGGCGGTGAGAGAAAGTGTTTTTAGTATGAAGTTCATTGTGAATATTTCTGGGTGTAGAGGGTTGGGTATAGTGTTGATGAAAATGATTGTTGTGAGGGCATTTATTAGGATGATGTTTATGTATTCGGCTATGAAGAATAAGGCGAATGGTCCTGCGGCATATTCTACGTTAAAGCCTGAGACTAGTTCTGATTCTCCTTCGGTTAAGTCGAATGGGGCTCGGTTGGTTTCTGCTAAGGTGGAGATGAATCATATTGTGGCCAGGGGTCATGTAGGTAGTAGTAGTCAGATGTTTTTTTGGGTGTATGATAGGGTTGATAGGTTGAATGACCCGTTAAGTAATAGGATTGATAGGAGGATGATGGCAAGTGTTACTTCGTATGAGATTGTTTGGGCGACGGCTCGTAGTGCTCCAAACAATGCGTATTTGGAGTTTGATGCTCATCCGGATCAGAGGATAGAGTATACTGCTAGGCTTGATGTAGCTAGAATGAATAGTGCTCCTAGGTTTATATTAATTAAAGGGTGTGGTATAGGTATGGGGATTCATAGTGAGAGTGCTAGTGTCAGGGCTAGTGTGGGAGCAATGGTGAATAAGACAATTGATGACGTTGAGGGATGTACCGGTTCTTTGATGAATAGTTTTAGGGCATCCGCGATTGGTTGGAGAATTCCGTATGGGCCGACGATGTTTGGGCCTTTGCGTAGTTGTATATAACCTAGGATTTTTCGTTCTATTAAGGTTAGAAATGCTATGGCTAGTAAGATGGGAATGATGAGGGTGAGGAAGTTGATTATGAACATTGGTGTTAAGGAGAGGAGTTGAACCTCTGGGTGTAAAGTCTTAAGTTTTATGCAATTTACCGGGCTCTGCCACCTTAACGAACCCTTGTCTAGGGTAGCTTGGGGAATAGTTTGTGAATTAATATTATATCATTCTTTGACTATTAAGGCGTGATAGGTCAATTGGCTTCATTTCCCTTGTCCTTTCGTACTGGGGGGAATTTAGAATAGATAGAAACCGACCTGGATTGCTCCGGTCTGAACTCAGATCACGTAGGACTTTAATCGTTGAACAAACGAACCTTTAATAGCTGCTGCACCATTTGGATGTCCTGATCCAACATCGAGGTCGTAAACCCTATTGTCGATATGAACTCTAGAATAGGATTGCGCTGTTATCCCTAGGGTAACTTGGTCCGTTGATCAAGTTTATTTGGGTCAATTTATGATAGGAACTTTGGCTTGTTGGGCCTGAGTTATTATCATTCGGAGGTTTTGTTATTCTCCGAGGTCACCCCAACCAAAATCTCTAGTACATGTGCTGTGTTTTTGTATTCTTTTTGAATTTTGGTTACTAGTGGTGTATTAGGAGATTAAAGCTCCATAGGGTCTTCTCGTCTTATTTTTTAATTCCCGCCTCTTCACGGGAAGGTCAATTTCACTGACTGAAAGCAAGAGACAGTTAAACCCTCGTCTTGCCGTTCATACAAGTCCTTATTTAAAGAACAAATGATTATGCTACCTTTGCACGGTCAGGATACCGCGGCCGTTGAACAGTGTGTCACTGGGCAGGCAGTGCCTCTAATATTTGTCATGCTAGAGGTGATGTTTTTGGTAAACAGGCGGGGCTTGTTTTGCCGAGTTCCTTTTGCTTGTTTTAGTCTTTCCTTTATGCACTCCTGTGTTGGGTTAACAGTATTGATTAATAAGGATCTAGTGGGTGTTTTGTTTTATTAGGTTGTTAATCAATTGGGTTGTGTTGTTGTAGGCTTGTGCAAGGAGAGTATACTCTCGTTACTAATATTAACATTATCTCTTCTATGTGTCTATAGATTAATCCAATTGTTAGTCCAGGGATTTATTAGGGCTTGTGGAATTGGGTGGGTTGTTTTAGTTGAGCTTGAACGCTTTCTTAATTGGTGGCTGCTTTTAAGCCAACTTAAGGGGATTTTGGTTGTTTATCCTCTGGTTCAGGTTGTATCCTTTTTTAAAGAGCTGTCCCTCTTTAAATTAACATTTAAGTCTTCATTAAAGTTGCTATTATTTTTGGAAGACTTAAAGTTGAACTAAAATTCTTATTTGGATAACCAGCTATCTCCAGGCTCGATAGGCTTTTCACCTCTACTTTCAAATCTTCTCACTATTTTGCCACATAGACGAGTTTGCTCTTTAAGCTGTTCGAAAGTAGCTCGTCTGGCTTCGGGGGATTTGGCTGAAGTTCTCTGTGTCAAATTATTTCTAGTTAATTCATTATGCAAAAGGTAGTAGGGGTAATCTATGCTGTTTTTTACTTTTATTTTCTCTTTCATCTTTCCCTTGCGGTACTATCTCTATAGCGCTTGAAAGAATTTCTATCACCTATACTTTAGTTTGTGAATGTTTTGTTCTAGGGGAAAGGTGTTTTTGTGTTGGGGAAGTGTCAGGCTAGGTTTAGTTCAAAGCGGTCATTTTTTGAAATCTTTCGGGTGTAGGCCGAGTGCTTTAGTTTAAGCTACGCTTTGTTCTTCCAAGCACACTTTCCAGTACGCTTACCTTGTTACGACTTGTCTCCTCTTGTACGGTGTTTGGTGGTTTGTGTTCACCAGTTGAGGTATTTGAGGAGGGTGACGGGCGGTGTGTACGTGCTTCATGGCCTGGTTCAACTAAGCTCTCTATTCTTAATTTACTGCTAAATCCTCCTTAGATCTCTAAGTTTCATAGTGACTGTCGTTAATTAATTTTCTTGGTAAGAAAATGTGGCCCATTTCTTTCCACTTCATGGGCTACACCTTGACCTAACGTTTTTATGGGGATTATTGTGCTTACTTTTGTTCCATGTAGGGGTTTGCTGAAGATGGCGGTATATAGGCTGTATTAGCAAGAAGTGGTAAGGTTGATCGGGGTTTATCGATTATAGAACAGGCCCCTCTAGGTGGATATAAAGCACCGCCAAGTCCTTTGAGTTTTAAGCTGTTGCTAGTAGTTCTCTGGCGAAAACTTTTGTTGTGGAGTTTTTATGTTTATGGCTAAGCATAGTGGGGTATCTAATCCCAGTTTGGGTCGTAGCTTTCGTGTGTTCAGATGGGTTAAGATTACTTTCGTTTGTTGGGTTTACTTTTATTTAGAGTCTTTTACAACTTAAATAAAGTTTAATCTTATTGTTTATTGTTCTAAAACACTCTATACGCCGGAGGTTTATTAGTTCGGGTTAATCGTATGACCGCGGTGGCTGGCACGAGATTTACCAACCCTGGTGTGTTGCGTAACTTAGTCAAACTTTCGTTTATTGCTTAAGTTTAATTACTGCTGTGTCCCGTGGGGGTGTGGTTTTACAAGGTGTTGTGGGCTACTGGTGAGTGCACCTGATACCTGTTCCTTTTGATCTTGAGAGATTTTAAGGACATTCTCACTGGATTGGGGAGCCTTGCATGTATAATTTCGCATATAACTAATAAAAAAGCTAGGACCAAACTTTTGTGTTTATGGAGTTGGAAACTCATCTAGGCATTTTCAGTGCCTTGCTTTGTTATAAGCTACATTAAC